GCCCCGTCTGAGTAGTCATCCTGTTCGCGCTGAGCAGTCTGACAGCTGCGTGGATCATCCCTCAGCCATGCCAAAACATCTGTGTGACCCTGGCACAGACTCTCTGACAGGAAAATATATGCCTGTCCACTGCAGCATCAAGAGACCCTATGTCTATCTGTCTGGTAGGGATTCCGTTGCAAGCTGGAGAGTTTCCAGCCAAATTTGACACACGTATGCTTGACACACCTTCTCACCCTTCGGCTACCGGGAAAGCTACAACAGCAGGGGTGAGCTCCGTGTCAAGCCCCCTGCCGAGATGATCTTTTTAATAAAGAGCTGAAAATTAATAAAGGCATAGACCCTGTTCATTTCACTGTAGACTAACCAAATTACTAAGAACACAATTAATAGGATTATCACACTCTTGATAATAGACTTAATTCATGAACTCACATTCCACCCTAACCCTTTGAAGACGTTGTCTAACCAGCTCATAGTAAAATCTTTTTGCTCTTCTTGTACTTCATGCTCTATTTCTTTTAACCGATTGATGTAATATTCTACATCTGTGGTTACATTTGGAATGTGTGTTGAGGTGTGGTTTTTCTTTTTACTAGTGTTTGTTTGGTGTCTGTTCACCCCCCCCCGCCCGAGCCCCTCTCCCCACAGCTACTGGTTTTCCCGGAATTTTTCCTCCTCCTCCCCCTTCGGGGTATCCGTTCTCCCTTTCCCTGCCCACATTCCCTAGGTATGTGCTCTCCAGGCACCTCCCCCCCCCCCCCCCCAGTTCGGATATAAAAAGCTGTGTCCGCCTGTCCCGGGTGTCTTGGGGGCTCGCTCAATAAACTCACCTCGTTGTACCCCAAGTCCCATGTCGCCTCCATCTGTCTTCGCACCGATAACTGGAACTGCAGAGCCAGGGGGGAATGGCCGACCCTCTCCCTCCTCTCCTGCCATCAAAGCACGCTGCTGCTTGGGGCTAAAGACGTGGCCAGGATGGACCCCGTTCCACAACAAATGTGGACACAGCAATGATCAATCTGTCCCTTTAAAAATCTTTACACTCCATACTCTTTCAGAAGTAACAAATCTAAGGCAAATCAGTTTCGTAAAGTCATTTTTGTGGTGGCTTGTAATTGCACGTTTAGTTGTTTAAATCCTTCCCTAGTGATTCTTGCCAGTCTATCTACCTGGCCTGTAAGTTTGAACATTTCTCTATTCCGATAGTTTGCTATAGGACCAAGCAAAGACTCTAGGGCCCACCAAATTTCACTCCACTAGAGGGTTCTTGCCAAGTGTCATCTTGATTTTCATTATCTGGAACTTCTCATCTTGTTCTTATCTGCAGAAGTTCATCTTTACCCTTAAATGGGCACTTTTTCTTCAGTGACCTTGTCTGCAATAAGGACATTGGTTAAATCCCAGCCTTGGCACAACCATTCCCACATGTCCCCTGCCAAGTCCACCACCCCACCCCACCCCAGTCTGCGGCCACCCCTCTCCCTCCCTCTGATGCCTGGGTTTCCTTTCCCTTGTATTACTGCCACTTCCAGGAGATTTTGCTCTTGTCTTTTACTGGTTTCTTTTTCCCTGTTATTGTATACCTTCCAGGTTACTTCAAGAAATTTATCCAGATTTCTTAATTCCTCCCCTTCTAATTTTTGCAATTTCCTCCTAATATAATCCTGTGACTGCCCCAGGAAAATGAGAGCGAGCTGAATCTTTGCTTGTGGTGCATCTATTTGGAGATCTGTGTATTTTCTCACTGCTTCCTTAAGCCTTTCCAAAAACACAGTAGGGGGTTCTTTCTTCTCCTGCCTTATCTCATACAATTTAGACCAATTCATAGTCTTAGGCACAGCATTCTGAACCCCTATCTGGTCCCACTCTTGATATTTCTTCAGCCTCTGTGTATGCCCAGGTGCATCAGGACCCCATCCTGGATCCTTGGTTAGAAAATTATCATCTAGGGTTCCCATTACGAGCCTGTTTCTGATATCCTCCCTTGCCCTTTCCTTGGCTGCTCTAAGTACCACCTCTTTCTCTGTAGAATCCATTAGGGTATCTAATATTACTTGTATATAATCCCAATCTGGATTCTGAGTTTTCATAATCATTTTTACCACTCTTGCCACTTTATCAGGATTTTCCCTATAAGTCCCAGCCGATTGTTTCCAAATTACTAAATTTTCAGGGGGAAAAAGGCACTTTTACCAACACCGGCCCCTATGCTCCTATTCCCTGTCGTAAGGGGGCAATCACAGTCCGCTTTTGTCTACCCAGATCTTTTCTAGCAAAAACCGGGGCGAGCTTGGACCGACTCCGAATCCTATGAGATACCAGTGTCTCAGATTCACTTTCATCTCCACTATTGCTATCTCCTTCACTTTCATCCTCCCGCCTTCTTTGTATCACAGTTAAATGTAGATCATCTCCCGGGGAAGAAGGGTCAGGTGATGGTGGGAGAGGAGGATAGAGGGAAGGGTTGAGTGGGTGAAGTAGGACTAGGCAAAAGAGGATTAATTGAAGCAGACAATGAAGTAAGGATTGGGGCAGGAGGGATAGGGTTAGGTCCTATTGTTCTTGCTGGGGCTACCTGTAAATCAACATCCGTATCGTTCCTCCAACTCAGACTTTCTTTCAATGCAAGATGTTCTAAACAAGGTTTCTCCTTCACACAAACCTCACACTTATCACTTGCAGATGCCCTAACCACCATCAATCCACATTCAACCTGCCATTCTGGCTTATCTCGCAAGTAGAAAAACAAATCAATATACGGAACCTCGTCCCGTTTTCCTTCTCGCTGACAAAATTACATCAATTGCAAAATAGTGTTATCTTGCTGTCATGGTTTGACGCTGGCACAATGCCAGCGCCCCATGAAAATACAATTTACCAATCAAATGCTGTGAAATGTGATCAAGGACAGAGCAAAGCAGGCCAAACTTAATAACAAAGGAAAAAACTTTATTACACTACTACTACTACTACTATAAAAGGAAAAGAAAGGAAAGAAAAAAAAACCACACAAAATTCGAAATGAAAACCTTCCAAAACATTTCTCCTCCCTCCACCCAACTCCACCAAACCCCAGCGAGACCCATTTGGATCCTTAATCAAGTTTTCACCCTTCAATATAATCAATACTAAGTCCATCGGGGAAGAGAGGAGTCCCCCTTGCAACCATAGACCCCCAGGAAACACAGCTGCCACCTTTGTGTTTCCAATGTCACACGTGGCACCGCCCAGACCGGCCAATGTGACACTCTCCTCTCCATGTCCCAGTGCTCTCACCACCGGGCATGGACAGAGACTGCTTATAGGGCCCCTTTAAGGATGCTTTGCCAAGGACCACCAGGAACAACAGTCCAGTATCACAATTTGGGACTAGAGTCCCCCCCATTTTCCCCTGGGGCCGAGGGTCCAAAAGACAGAGATCGCCTTCTCTTCTTCCTGAAGATGGAGGGCATCCTCACACCCTCCTCAGCTCTCTCTCTGTCCACTCCAAAACTGGTAGTTGCTGCAGAAGGTCTCTTGGTTCACCAATGCATCCCCCTAAAATGCAGTCCCTCTTGAAAGAAAGAGTGGTTCAGTCTATGGTAAACAAGCAGAGTCCAGCCAAAAAGCCACTCTATCATCTGCCCCCAACCTTCTTCTCTAAACATCTGAGGTTTCAAGCTGTCTCTCTTTTCTTCAAATTCAGGAGGAGTAATATTTCATAAAGCCTTCATTTCTCAGGAAGGGTTAAAAGTCCCAACTCCCAAGGATGGCTCGCTGCCCAGGCTCCAGCTCCCACAGCCCGGCTGGGCACCTTGCGGCCCCCCCGCTCTTCTCCTTCCCTGCGGCGAACTGCCGATAAAACCACCGAGTCTCTTTTTTTCTCTCTTGGGAGAGAGAGAGACTCTGGGGGGGGAAACGGAGACATCCCAGATTTCTCCACCCTTCCATCTGCAGGAGCTGACCCAGTCGGTTCCGATCCTTTACCTCCTGGCCTACCTGTGCAGGCCGCATGGCTCCCCTCCCCCACCCAGCCCGGGCTGGGCAGGGGAGGTCCGTATCATGCGATGACCGGAACCAAAGAAGGACGAGTCCTCCTGGGAATTCCGCTTTTAACCCCTCTGTGTTCTCAGAGGCGTGTCCACCTTCAATTGGTCACCCCAAGTGTCAGTATCTAAACCTGACCCCTGACTGGATGAACCTCTTCCTTCTAAAAAATTCTCTTCCCGTGTCAAACCATGACACTTGCGAAGTCCTGTTTCTCGGCCACTTTTTGCCGCCCTCCAAGACATATTCTGGCCACCATTGTCCTGGCTTGAAAGATAAGCATGTGTCATGGTTTGACGCTGGCACAATGCCAGCGCCCCATGAAAATACAACTTACCAATCAAATGCTGTGAAATGTGATCAAGAACAGAGCAAAGCAGGCCAAACTTAATAACAAAGAAACTTTATTACACTACTACTACTACTACTACTATAAAAGGAAAAGAAAGGAAAGAAAAAAAAAACCACACAAAATTCGAAATGAAAACCTTCCAAAACATTTCTCCTCCCTCCACCCAACTCCACCAAACCCCAGCGAGACCCATTTGGATCCTTAATCAAGTTTTCACCCTTCAATATAATCAATACTGAGTCCATCGGGGAAGAGAGGAGTCCCCCTTGCACCATAGACCCCCAGGAAACACAGCTGCCACCTTTGTGTTTCCAATGTCACACGTGGCACCGCCCAGACCGGCCAATGTGACACTCTCCTCTCCATGTCCCAGTGCTCTCACCACCGGGCATGGACAGAGACTGCTTATAGGGCCCCTTTAAGGATGCTTTGCCAAGGACCACCAGGAACAACAGTCCAGTATCACAATTTGGGACTAGAGTCCCCCCCATTTTCCCCTGGGGCCGAGGGTCCAAAGACAGAGATCGCCTTCTCTTCTTCTCTGAAGATGGAGGGCATCTTCACACCCTCCTCAGCTCTCTCTCTGTCCACTCCAAAACTGGTAGTTGCTGAAGAAGGTCTCTTGGCTCACCAGTGCATCCCCCTAAAATGCAGTCCCTCTTGAAAGAAAGAGTGGTTCAGTATATGGTAAACAAGCAGAGTCCAGCCAACAGCTACTCTATCATCTCCCCCCAACCTTCTTCTCTGAACATTTGAGGTTTCAGGCTGTCTCTCTTTTCTTCAAATTCAGGAGGAGTAATATTTCATAAAGCCTTCATTTCACAGGAAAGGGTTAAAATTCCCGGACTCCCCGGACGGCTGCAATCTCAGCCCAGGACTCTTTCTCCAGTCTCCCACGCTGGGCATCTTCCCCCCCCCTTCTCCTTCTCCTCCGCCGGCAAACTCCTAGGTGTCTGCTGGCTCTCTATCTCTTTTCCCTCTAGCTTAGGGGAGGGGGAACAAAAACATCCCAGATGTTCTCTACCCTTCCATCCGCAGGAGCTGGCCCAGCTCGGTTCCCGATCCTTCATCCCCTGGCCTACCTCTGCAGGCCGCATGGCTCCCCTCCCCCACCCAGCCCGGGCTGGGCAGGGGAGGTCCGTACCATGCGGTGACCGGAACCAAAGAAGAACGAGTCCTCCTGGGAATTCCGCTTTTAACCCCTCTGTGTTCTCAGAGGCGTGTCCACCTTCAATTGGTCACCCCAAGTGTCAGTATCTAAACCTGACCCCTGACTGGTGGACCTCTTCCTTCCAAAAAAAAATTCTCTTCCTGTGTCAAACCATGACAGCATATATTCTATTTGCCATCTGTTGGAGGTGGGGCAGGTATCTCCTCTTAAATTAGGCAGTTTTCTCATCTCTTCCAAGAACAATGTCTCCCTCTGGGGAGATATCTTCTGTTAATGGGCCATTAAATGGCTCACTGCATGACTGGTAAAGTTACATCATCCCATTGTGACATGCTCCACCCAGAAGGAAGAGCCAAGCATTCCTACCTGCATAAAATCAGCATTTTTTGGGACATCAGGGCAGCCTCTTTGCTAGATTCCCAGAGGAGCAGCTTCTTCTTTGCTGGATCCCCAGAGGAAGACCAGGCCCATCTACTCTATCACCAGACCTTCAGAAAAACTACACCCTTTCTACAGAACCACCGCTGCCGCAGCATTTCATCTGCCACTCCAGGAGGAACAGCCAGCATTTAACTGGACTATTGCCAATACCCTGACTCCTCAGGGTGTCAGATTTCTGACTCTATCAGTAGTTTTGTTTGTACTAATTACATTTTTTAAAATTTACTTTTTTTTCCTAGTAAAGAACTGTTATTCCCATTCCCATATCTTTGCCTAAGAGCCTTTAATTTTGAAATTGTGGTAATTCGGAGAGGGGGTTTACCTTTTCCATTTCACAGGAGGCTCTTGCCTTCCTTCACAGACTCTTGTCTTTTCAAACCAAGATAACCATGAGTTACAGTAATCAATTAACTTACCCATACATAAATCTTGCCTGAAATTACCCTGTTTCCAATGTGCTAATAAGCACACCAAAGGAAAAGTACGCAGTATGGGGGCATTGCTGACAAAAGGACCTTTAAGCTTCTCCATATTACAGCTACAAGACACCACAGAATGCTGAACCCACAATGGTTTCGCGATGTCTAACGGACGGTGCCTAGGCAATACCACAGGAATTCCTTTAACCCAACCATGTGCATCTTTCGCTGAGTCTTATCGGGAGGTACCAGACCAGGGTAAAAGCACCTTACCTCTCTCCAGGGGACGTTGTGAGCGGCAGAGGGTCGCAGCGCCAATGAGCACCCCAAGAATCCTTTGGTGCCGGCTGGAGAGTATTCGAGTCATGGGATCCTCAGCAGCAATCACAGGGTCCCATCTGGGGGTCACCAAAATATTAGCGTTCAGGAACACACATAATGACGTAATATGATTATATGGAGGTGCTTTTATTAAAGAGCTCTGGGAATCAGGGGTGCAGACCCAAATCTGACTCTGACATGGCTTTCGAACTGAAGGTATTTTATATTCTATCATTATATGACACTCCTACCCCTCTCAGCCCCCAAATTACTAGACTAGCCCAGAGATACGAGGCCTTGAGGGGAGGAACCTCAGGAGATGGGCAAAGATTCAAAAGAGGCTCTATCCCCAATGTGGTTGTCCAGCTTCTTTATTCCATGGGATGAGGGGGGAAAGAGAGTGAACAGGAAGGGTCATGTCCTTATCTAGGCTCTGGACAGGGAGGGCTTTCTGGCTCTCCGCCAACCCCGTCAGAACAGGATGGAAGGACCACTCTTATCTGATCAGAGTCACAGGGGTCCCTGGAAATGGGGAAAAGGATATCCCGAGCGCACTGTAACAGTTATATAACTTCCACATTAATTATTAAACTTATATTGTTCTACAGTACACATTGATCTTATTCAAGCATGAATTTCTTGCAATCTTTCTCAAGCCCCCAACCACAGTTTCTCATGATTATTCTTATGATTAAACTGTAATTATATTTAATTACTAAACACTCATCGCATCTAACAATTATATAATTTATCATATACTAGCTACAAAGGTGCAGTTCTAGCAAGTACAAGGCCTATACTTTCACAGGGTATTTTCCCAGGGCATACTAAGCCTAACTTTCATTCCAACTCCCCAAATCCCCATTATTTTAAAACCCTTTTACTATCATAAGCAGTCATTGGTCTAATCTCCACACCCCCTAGACTCTGAATCAGTCAGATGCTTGTACTTTAGGAGAGTTGTTATTGGTTGAAACCTCTGTCAGTCAGTCCAGATGCTGATTTATGGAACTGGGTTGGGCTTCTCATTTATAAGCAGATTAATGTTCAGTACAAATCAGCTTGTACTGCAACATCTCAGCCTTTTGTCTTTACTAAAGTTGTAACTTGATCTTTGTCATATATTTGCAATGGTCCCTTGCAAACAGGGCAGACAGAAAACAGCATGGTTTTAATTTACGTTAATTATATATCAGTGAAACTGCAGCATTTAGGTTCAGAGTCTGTTAGGGAAGAATTCAAGTTAGCACGTTATAGGTTTAATGTTTAGGCTATACGTCATAACTTATCTTTAGGAACAACAAACCACTTAACTCTTAAAACTGTTAAAGAAAATTATAACTACTTGTCCTGGTTCAGGGCAAATTTGGGGAAAGAACCCTAAAAGGGTTCCTTTAGGAAAGCAGACTCAATTGGCCCCTCCTCCCAACCAGTTCAGGAAGGATACCTCTTTGGAGGAAAGTGGAAAAAGACCTGTTTATTAAAAAAGCAATCTTAAACAATATTAAACAGTAAAACTTCTCGCCACTCCAAGAGATAGACAAACTCAGAAAAAAAAAACCCCCGGGTTGCAGCTGGGCTCACTCAGTCTCTGATCAGTCCCTCCGGCAATGGAAATGCCACGGCCCAGGCCCGGCCCGCTGGGCCACAGGTGCTGCTGCTGCTGCTCTTCTGGGTGTTCAGTCCAGAGCAGGTCCAAAGAAAGGGAAAAAAACACAGTCCAGGGAACGTCTTTGCCTCAGCTAGCTAAAACTAACTAGAAAAAGCAAAGGAGAGCTCTCTCTCGCTGTCTGTCCATCCGCAAACAACACAGTCCAGGAACAGGAATGTGGAGGAGGGAGTGCAGTTCTTGAAAACAAACTCCATGCTTCTTCACCCCCACCCCCCCCCTTCACTCCTGGAACAAGTCTTAAAGGTGTAGAACTTATTATTCAACATAAACAGGGCAGACGATTGGGGATAAAGGCATCATACAGTCAACCTAGGACACTACTAGAAAAAAAACAATTTGTAAACAGAAAAACGGTTTGTAAACATGAAAAACATAAACAAAGTTGTAAGTTATATCTTAACTCTAAACTGAAATAAAAACTTTGAAACATTCAACTTTAGAACTGTGAGAAAAGCAAACTTAACAGATAAAGCAATTTCTAAACAGAGTCTTTATATGAACTGTTATTTCAATAGTCCCAGATTTCTATGAGGTAGTTATTAATTGTTCTGGTTACACAGTTCTCTGATATGTGTTGAAGGGACATCGTGCTGATGCTGTCTGTGGTTCTGAGCAGGACGCAGGGCAGGTTGGACACATCTGGCAGTTATCCAATGTGTCCCCGTGTCTGTTGATACGCACGCATATCCCCGTCCCCAAGTAATGAGATCCCAGGGACCCCCCGATGTATTGGTAAGGAGGTCTTTCACCATTACCTGGGGTTTAGGTATCTGGACATCACTAGATGATTGTAGTGATAAGAAATGATTCAGAATAACTGGGTTCTAGGACTTTTCCAATACTGTTAGATTATTTAGCAAGTATATGACTTTAGCTATTCTACCCTGTGGGGTCTTGCCACACATAGTTCCCTTTTGTTTATTAAGTATACCTTTTAAAGTACCATGTGCTCTTTCCACTATTGCTTGTCCAGTTGCTAAATGAGGAATACTGGTTTGGTGTGACACATCCCAGAGCTGTAGAAATTGTCTAGTTTTCTGTGAGGTGCATGCCAGGCCATTGTTAGTTTCGATGGTGTGAAGGATGTCCAAAGCTGCAAAAGCTGATCGCCAGTGTGCGATGGCATCCCAACCTTTTTCTCCTGTGTGCACTGTAGCCCATATTGCTGATGAAAAGGTATCAATTGAGACATGCACATATTTTAAACGGCCAAATTCAAGGATGTGTGTGACATCAGTTTGCCAGATTTGCAAAGCATGCAGTCCACGAGGGTTTGCCTCCATCTGCAGTGGTGCAGCGTAGTCTTGGCATTCAGCACAGGGGCTAAAAATATTACGAGCCTCTGTATTTGACAGCTGGAATTGCCGCTGTAAGGCTCGAGCGCCTTGGCACAAAAAAAATCATGTGATGCCTTTGCTTCTGTCAGCATATCTGGTTGTGGTGCCATCCAAGCAGGGCTAGCTAGCATATCTGCTCTGGCATTGCCCTCTGTGATAAAGCCTGGTAAATTTGTGTGACTCCTGATGTGTAGGATGCAATATGTGCAAATTCTGGATTGGATGGTGAGGCATAGAGTTTTGAGTAAAATAAATAGTTGTGCATTATTAATTTCCTTTAGTAGTGTTCGCTCTAATCTTTGTGTGATGTCAGCCATATACGCAGAATCAGTTACAACATTTAGAGGACTGTGGGGAAAATGTTGGAAAGCCATAGCTACAGCACGTAGCTATAATTGAGGTGATCCATTCTCATATCCCTCCAATGTTTGCCACTCACTTTCCTCTTTCCATGTCACAATGGCCTTTCTGTTTTTTCCAGAACCATCAGTAAACACTATAACACCTTCTAAGGGTGTTCAGCTGTTCAGGGGTTTTAGAGATTGTGTGGTTTCGCCACTTAACTTTAGCAGTCTATGGCTTGTTAAGTGGTAAGTGATTTGTCCGGTAAAATTTTGCAAAGCACATTGCAAAGCTGTACAGTTTGCAAGACACTATTCAAACTGCTCTTGTGTTGTAGGAATAATAATTTGGGAAAAATCTTTGGCATTCAGTTGCAGACATCTGCAACAACATTTGATGATTAATGGTGCGGTTAGCTCAGAGACGGTAGGCGCCGTCTTTTTTGGTTGGTGAGGTAAGAATACCCACTCTGGAATGTGCAAAGGGTCAATAATGTGCCCAATAATGCCAGTAATATGAGAATTAACAATGAAAATGAATACAGTGATACACACCTCTGGGCATATCCAGTGGGCCTGTCTGTTTGTTATGGCTTGCTCTACTGTTTCAAGAGCAGCTTTTGCCTCAGGGGTTAATTTTCGGGGGGAAGTCAAGTCAGGATCCTCTCTCAGGAGGTCAAATAAGGGTGCTAATTGCGAATTGGTTATCCCTAGGTATGCTCTGACCCAGTTGATAGTACTCAAAAATTTCTGAGCATCATTTAAAATTTCAATTTTGGTAGAAAATTGAATTTCTTGTGGCTGTATCATTTGGTTCATTATTTTGAGTCCCAAATATTTCCAGGGAGCTTGCTTTTTCACCTTCACTGGTGCTACCTGCAGCCCAAATGATTTTAATGCTTGCAGCAGGTTTGACTGAATCTGCAAAAGTTCCTTTCTTGTTTGGTCTGCAATCAAAATGTCATCCATGTAGTGATAACAGTATGTCCCTGGAAACTGTTCTCTCATGGATGAGAGTGCCTGTGCAATGTACCATTGACAGACTGTGGGACTGTTTCACATCCCTTGCAGGAGAACACGCCATCGATAACACTGCACTGGTGCAGTGTTATTAATGGAAGGGACTGTAAAAACAAACTTTGGGGTATCGTCTGGGTGCAGTGGAATAGTGAAAAAACAATCCTTCAGGTCCACTATCAGGATGTCCCAGGAGGCAGGTATCACTGTGGGAGAAGGCATAGCAGCTTGCAAGGCCCCCATGCCCTCCATGACTGAATTGATATTTCTTAGGTCATGGACCAACCTCCATTTACCAGTTTGGGGTTTTTTTCACAACAAATACAGGGGTGTTCCAAGGACTCATAGGTGGCTCTATGTGTCCTTGAGCTAGTTGTTCTTGTACTAATGATTTTAGGGCATCTAGATTTTCTTTCTCAAGGGGCCACTGCGGTACCCACAAAGGCTGAGCTGTAAGCCATTTCAGAGCTGGTGTGGGCCACCTTACGCCCTTTAACACAGTGGCCCCTGTTAAAAATCTGTCCCTACCCAAACTCCCCATGAAGATAAAATATCCCTCCCTCACAGGTTAAGAGTGGCAGCAGTGATGTATGGCCATATTGTATCTGTTTGACCCTCAGGATTTTTGATTAGCACAGGACTGCTGCTCAAGCAGCTCTGTATGGTCCCTCCGAGGCCAGCAACAGCAGATCCCACGGGTGTAGTAGGTCATGATGAAGGCCATATTTTGGCAGCGATGATGATGACATCTGCCCCTGTGTCAATCATCCCATTGACCTTTATCTGCGAAGACTGTGCCTTAGGCATCACAACAGTACAATCCATGTTAGGTCTTTGATCTCCCACAACCTGAGTCCAGTTTGCCTGGGGCTGTCCTGTTAATCTGAAGCCTATGTCTCCTTGCTCTTTAGAATCTGCTTTGGGGACAGAAGACTTAAAAGGGATAAGTTGAGCAATTCTGGTTTTAGCAGGGATAGTTACGGGTGGTTCGTTAGCCAATCCCAAAGTGCAAAAGACAAACAGCAGGGGACTATCAGTTTAATCACAACAAATGCACCTTCATTAGGGGCCAAAAACAATAAATGCGATAGTGGGGTCAGAAAAGAAATAAAAAGGATAGAGAGAGAGAGAAGGGGGCATGGGAATAGCTACCAACACAGGCGAGGTCCTCACTGGTCTGGATGATGGGGATCCGTCTTGTTGTGTTGGGGAGAGTCTCCAAAGTCGTACCCAACCCAGGGGTCCAGTTATAGTCCACAGAGGTAAAAGGGGGGAACGTGCAGAACAATGAGAGTCTATTGAAATTGCTATGTGGGGAACAGGTGTATCTACAGAAGTTCATCCAGGCAGAACAAACACAATGAAGAATAAGTCCATTGAAGTTACTGGAGAAGAACAGGTCATGTCATTCTTCCCCCCCACCACTCTCTGTGCTAGGGGTCTCAGTCTCAGACCTTGGGAAGAGGGTTCTTGATTTCCATCTGTCACAGTGGTAACGAGGCAGATGAGGGGTCTTCAGTGAGAGACCACCAGGGTCACCCCAACAGTTCATTCAGCTTAAAGGTGGAGAGTGAAGCAGGAATTGCAGTAGGCCGCTTTGTGCTGGGTCCACGCTGGGTCTTCACCAACTCCTTGCCAACTCCTTGCCAAGTTCTTGCCGGGCCTCATTGGGAACAGCTAACGTAATGGTACAGCGGCTGCACCTGCACTGTTGCCTTCTCCAAGCCGGATCTGCAGTGGGGGAAGGGAGTTCCTTCTCGTGGCAATCGGCAGGCAAATGAGTGAGGGTCTTCAGACGGCCTCTTACACCGCCGGCTGTGTCAGCAGTCGCACTAAAGGTGAACACCCCAGCGCCCTGCTGCGCCACAGTCCCGGCCCCCGTGGCAGGGGGGAAGGCAGAGCCGAACCAGCCGGCGCCCCGGCAGTGCCGTCCGCAGTATCAGCAGAGGGCACCGCGGCGGGCACAGGCGGAGGCACAGACCGCAACCCCAGCGCTCTCATCCCCCGGGGCGGAGGAAGGGCGGGGCGCAGAGGGAGACGCGGCACGCAGAGACACAAGGGAGTCTGGCACGCCCCCAAGGAGCGTCGGACCCGCGCCGCGCAGCCTCCCGGTGGGCACCGCCCCCATCAGGCGGGACGGGGCGGGCTGCCCGCCTGCCGGGGCGGGGTCTGATGGAACAGTGACCAACGCCCCGCCTTTGGCAGCCCCCACCGCCTTTGCATGCCCAGCAGGCTGCGCAGGTTCAGGGATCGGAGCTGATTCCTCCTCGGAAGACGAACCCGAGACCGGACCGGGAGAATGCGCCTGCATCGTCTCCAGGGGAAATGTAACACCACAGTTCGGGCAATGCACCGTCACCGAGTCAGAAGCAATCTGAGGCGGGGGCTGATCCACGGGCCCCCGTTCACCCCCGAGCGCCGGGAAGGCACAAAGAGAAAGTGCTTTCCCCCCCAGCCCACTACGCCTGCGACGTGGGGCAGGGCGAGGCGGCCGAACCGGCTCCACTGACCGGACACCTGGAGCCAGTGGGCTGGGAGCCCGAACCACCCCAGAGGAGGAGCCGCCTTCCGGCTCACTCCCCTGGGGACTAGGGGAATCAGGGCCACCCCACAGAGACTCGGCCTCCCCAACATCCGCATCCGAGAAAGATAGGTCTCCCAGAGAAGCCTGAGAACTGCCAATCTCAGACCCCTGCCAAATGGCATCCAACCTCTTCCACAGCATCATCAGCGGCCCAACATCTTCAAAACGATTATGAAGCAGGGCATCCATGAGGCGATCTCCCACGGGAGATCAATTCTCACAGGAAAGGGCCTCAGCAAGACTGGGAAAGAATCCCTGTTTCCTTGCCCATAAAAACAGCCTCTCAAAATCATCCCAATAAAAAGGAACACATTTCCGCTTCAACACCTCCCTCCAAACGTCCAAAGCCACAGACTCCTCCCTGATGTTCTCAAAGCTCTCCATTACCAACAACAGCAACAGGCAAAGCACTGAACAGACAGCAGAGACCTCACCGGCATAGTTCCCAGCCTCAGCTGCAATAGACTCTGGAGGTCACCAGATGTCGCTATAGGACGCGAGAAAGCACAACGCGAGCCACCTGCTATTTTGCAAGGTAAAAGAGAGAGTTTATTTTCTGACTCCAACTTTTATACTTTTCCAAAGGTGACAGTGGATTGGAGAGTGAATGGGCCACCTCTCCAAAGACATTGGAAAAACCACTAGTACATCAAGTTTCTCCACCCCCATGAAGGAATGAAAAACAATATGTTGTTTATAGAAATTATGTGGGAAAGTTTTCTAACAGAATGTAAACTCAGAAGGCTTTAGAAAATCTTAAGAATCAAGGCGACAAAGCTAGAAGTTGTTTTTAAGTTTTCTTGCAGTGGAGAATTCTGACACCTTCTTTCCATTTGCAACATTGACAGTCTTGTTTGCCTGTGGTATCTTTCTGCTTGGTAAAAACATCTTTTTGTTTGTGGCCAGCTTATCCTTTGCTCTAAGGCATAAAACCTCTTTCCATCTCTACATAACCCTTGCCTTAGTTGCCCAGTAATACTGGCTCAGCAATTCTTTTCTTCTATATCAAAACTTGCATTCATTTCTATTTCTTCTTCAGAGTCTACATTCAAAAAATTTTCTGCCAAGCATACAGATCTGTGAGACTTTCTTGACAAACTTTCATCCTTCCTAACAATACCCCTTTGTCCTTGAAATGTCCCCTGTGGTATGGACTGGTGTGGACAGTTTGCTTTCACGTGGCCTTGTGTGAGAGACAGTCCGAAGTTTCCTTCATTTTCCTCACGACTGTCGCAAAGACCCTGAAGACCCCTGACAGGAGTTCTGGCCTGGCCGAGGTGGATGCGGACGCTTGCCAAGTGACTGTTAGCAGGTGCACTCGCTGTGCTTCTACAGAACATTGCATTCAAACAGGTTGTGCCAAGCAGTGGCTTGTACCTCTATGCCTGCACCTGCTTCACTGACCACTGGGCTCTACACAATGGCCCATCAATCTTGCCCACCTTCTGGCCAGATGCCACTCGCTTTGGCTAAAGCCTGTATAAACTGTAACATTTTGGGAAGACTTCGGTGCACCCCCACAGACAACGGCAAATCTATGTGGCTGGACCATCAAGGATCTCGTCTTGGATGGTGGTAGCTATATTCCCCTTCCCCTTCTTTCTCTCTATTCTTTATTTCCTTTTTCTGTTCCTTCTATCACATTTGCTGTTGGTACCTAAATAAAGGTGCATTTGTTGTGATTAAATTGATGGTCCCCTGCTGTTTGCCTTTTGCACTTTTGGGATTGGTTAATGAACCATCACAACACCCCGCACGAGCGGATCGTAACACCTTGTTGTCCACATTTGTAGCACTGGGGAATTTGTTTAACAGCAGTTGTAATAGTACTAGCTAACATATCCATGTTGAGATCCAGTCCCAACCTTAACACATGCATTTATCATATCCTCTAGGGATGGATTCTCTTTAGGTAAGGCATCAATAATCTTTCTACAGTCTACGTTTGCTTAATCCTGTGCTAGCTGCAGTATTAATTGGTTCCTTGCTTCGCTGTTAGATATCTGTTTTTCCATAGCACCTTGCAAGCATTCTATGAACTGCATATACAATTGGTCAGGTTTTTGCCTCATACTTGAATAACTTTGGGTAGGTACAGACATATTTGTGATTTTTGTTAGAGCTTGCATTGCTGAATCCTTTGCTTGGGCTAGGATAAAGGGGTTCAAATGTGCTTGGGTTTGTGGGTCTTCCATGGGGAGCAGTCCCATAAGTTGAGCAATCCCTGCCCCAAAACATGGGTTCTGCTGTGAATCTCTTGAGTTTTTTAGTCCCTGATTGTTACAGTGAGCTCATGGGCACCCTGTGCCCCCCTTCCCCGGGACCCAGTGACTCTGATCAAGATAACCCCTGGATCCTCCTTCCTGCCCCAAGGGGGTTGGTGGAGAGCCAGGAAAGCCCACCCTGTCCAAAACCTATATACACCCCTGAGATTTCCTGTTCTCTCTCTTTTGCCCCGCTCTCACATGGACACCACAGAATAAAGAGAGCTGTACCAACCAACACCCTGGGGTAAGAGCCTCTTTTGAATATTTATCCCTCTCTTGGTATTCCTCCCCTCACAGCCCCTTATCTCTGAGCTAGTCGGATTATTCGGGGGGCTGCGTGGAGGGGGGGGGGAAAACTACACCTGATCTTCTGCATAAAATCTCCAGCTCGATGCAAACATCATATATTGCACTGGACTACAGATCAATTTTGCAATCTGCTTCATATCATAAGGGTTTAATTCACTAGCAGTTAAAAATTGAAGCATATTTGCAACAGCAGGCTGTTGTTATTGGACATGAAATGAGTACATAGAAGCTTGGTAAGTTTAAAGGGGAAAAAGATTCCGTTTTAATTAAATATGTGGTATTTATAGAATTTAAAAGGTGACTGTGGATTGGAGGATGGCATTACTACTTTTCTAACCACACTGGTCTAAAGATGAATCAATAATTTCTCTCTACCCACAGAGAAATACGTAAACTATTCTATTTTTACATGAAATTGTGTGGGAACTCCGACTCTCAAATATGTAAACATTATCAGAAGGTTAAAGAAGTTTTATGAGAACTTTAAAACTTTCAAAAGAATTATAAAAGAAAACTTAACACTTTTAAAAATCAGGGCAACAGCAGGCAACCCTAGCCCATGTTTAGCAGCTAGTTGGCGTAGTTCTGAAAGGATTTGTCAATTAAAGGGTACATATTTGTCAGGGGTTGTCCCATTACCTTGCACGACTGGGAATGCTGCAATTGTTCCCGTACCCTGCTGCCAGTTCTCTGATGATGGTGAACACACGGGTACAGAAATTAGTTCATCCCCCTCTGTATCTCCACATTCTGTCACCTTCTGTTTTACCTCCATCCAGAAGATTACTGGGTCTCAGGTGGGAATGTTTTCTGCTTGGAACATTGAAGAGGCTGGAGCTGGAGTCAGCAGGGTTGCAGAGACTTCCTTGGCTGGTTGGAACCTTGGCTGTAGATGCCATGGTGTTGCGGCAGTGGCAGGTGGGGGGCTGGGGCCAGAGCTGGGAGCAGGGCTCTGCATCATAGTGCTGGGGTTTCCTAGTTCTGGTGTATTTCCGGGAGCGATGTAGTGGCAACATCTGGGCATTTGTTGCGTTCCACCCCCCATGTTGCAGCAGCAGGCAGACGTGGCCAGTGGAGGCGGGACTGTGAGCGCGGTTTGTGGGCTGAGCCA